TGCTGAAACAAAGAGGTAGGGCAGCAGCATCTTCAAATGAAGTGTATTATTATTCTTTGTGAGGAAGGTTGTCTGTGACCCCTTGTTTTTTTTCTGTCACCCCGTTGCAGCTGATAGTGCCAGCTTGCTCAGGGACCATTTCAGTAGATCACACACGTTAGCCAAGTTCTAAAATACCCACCTGCACCGTACGCTACCTAAAGTTTAATAAACCTTTCATCTGTCCACTGCATGACATCTGGGCAGTTATTTGACATAATAATTCATGTTGATTGTGCATATCGGTATGCATCGGAGGAGAGAAGAGCCAAAGCCGTGGTGGAGAGGAAAATGCCTGTGGGGCAGTGCCTTGGATCAGGGGAGACCTACCTGCACGTGGCAGGTGACCAATCTGCCACCGATGTGGCTGTGTAAAATCTTTATATGAGAATAATACTACCCTGAGATAAGCACAAAACAGAATAGGAGGGGGAAGATAAACTACCAGGACCCAAGTTACAGAAGCACATTAATATTTACTCGATATCTCTTTATACCCTCTAGTCAGCACAACAGATGTAGTTGTGTTTTAAGACATTATCATTCATTGAAAGAGGCAAAACGATAGTCTTTCTCTCCCTCCCATCCCCGGTAATCTCAGATGTTCGCCCTGCGCGCTGGGGGGAGGAGGTGGAGAGCCGAGCGCTGGTGGGAGAAGAATGCAATTATCCCAAAGCCTCCTGACGGGCATCCACTTCTTCCTTCCAGCTTAGCTGCTCTGACCACAGGCTGGGGGGCTCGTGGGACTTGGACCAGATTGAAAAAGTGGAAGCAAACAGATGGTTATTTGTAATCATCATGTAAATGTAATTCCTATAAAAATGTTTTCTTTCTAAAGGCCTGAAAGCTGTTGTAGTGGAAAGCAGGATTAAGCATGGATATATAGCCTAGAATAATTTTGACCCTACCACCTTCCCTCCTACCCCGTAAACATTGTGGCTTTATCTCCGCTTCCTTTAAGCAAATTGCTGGAGCCTCGGTCAAGGAAATTAATTCGGTTTCCATGTAATACCCTGAGTTCATGAGCATCGGTTTGACCGAGGCCTGGATTTGGGCCTAAGCTGGCAGGTGCTGGTAAGCAGTTGCCTTGGTAGCGGGGACTTCTTTTTTCCTTCTTTCTCCCTCAGTCTGGCAGATGCATGGCCTGCGAGTGTTTATCTCAGCACTGCCGTTGCTGGATGTGCTTCCTTTCCGTGACTGCACTCGCGGGTACCTATAAATGGCCGTACAGGACTTTGCATGCCTTAAAGACTGACTGCATGCCTTAAAGACTGACGTGACAGCTCGCAGACATCTATCTCGTTTGAGCAGCATCAGCTTGTTCGAGCTACAGAGAGACCAATCAAACTTTAATTAACTTTTGTCTACAGCACCATTGTGGGCTGCGTGTACGGTTATCTGTCCTTTCCAGCTCTCTGATCCCCCGGTGCCTCTCCAGACAGCGAGGAGTAGCCATCCGGAAGGTTTTGCCCTTCCGAGGCTTTGCCGCTCGACACGTGAGGACGTTTGCGCTGCCGTCGGGCTGGCAGAGGGGAGCGGTTCTGCCCTGCATCGCCGTCGCTGCCGCTGGGGCCGCGCAGCAGCCTCTGGGGTCCTGCTCTCTGAGGAGACCAGCTGCACTGCGGTCCCAGCGTGGGCGCACGGGGCGGGGTGTCAGCGATCTTTCTCTTTGGCATCCCGTGTTAAATGTAGGGTGACACCCACGGCAAGCACAAAGGGAGCTGCGTACCTTATTTATATAAAGCAAAATAAGAACACGGGATGAAGAGGAGGAGCCTGATGACAACGTTTTGCCACTTGTGTTGGATTTTTAAAACGTTAGTATTTGTGCCCTGCCAAGAAGGCCCTGAGAAGGGCTGGTTTCTCGAGAGAACAAAAGCCTCTTGCCAGTGTGTGGGGAGGGTGATCTGCTCAGGCTCACTAGTAGTTATTTGGAAGTACCCAGCAATTGTGGATAATTGGCTGAGGAATATTCTTGCAGCTCTCAACCATTTTTCTGTTTTCACAGATGATTGTGCTATTAGATATGGTGAATGCACTAAGCTCTGTTGCAGCTTTTCCATTTACTGTGCTAATAAGTGTGAACTGAACTTCCAGTTGATGCTTCTTTCTTCTGTGGCTTTCTGTGCCACTGGAGTAGGACGGCTGAGCTCTCCAGCCCGCCCTCTGGTCTCCCCCACACGTGCCCTTCCTCTTCCCTGCTCCTTCTCTCTTGGGGTGATGTTTGGATGTGCTGGGATGGCTATGCTGATCAGATTAATGTCTGTGCTTTGTATTGTCGTTGTTATATTGCATTAAAAGCACTGAATCACAGGAATGGCAGCCCGTGCCGTCTGCTCTTTACCTTGTTTTTCTCTGTGCTTTTATTCTTATTCTTTCTTTCCTTTACCTGGCTTTTTGTTTTCATTCTCCCTAAACTTACAGTGTTCCCTCTCTTCCTCTCTGAGTTGTTTTCTCTCTTTAATTTATATTCCACACATTTTTCTCTTATCTTTGTCTTTCTGTCCCTGCTTTATTTTTTCCCTATTTCATTTTTCTACAACCATTTTTTGTTTTTCTCCAAAACACAGAATGCTTTAGATGGAAATAGTGAGATATATCTATTCAAGATTCGCATATGTGCTGAGGTACAGAGCAGGATTAAGTAAACCCCGTAGCATCAATTTTGTCTTCCATTCAAGCCAGATTTGCAGTAAGGCTTGGGTAAAGGAATGTGATAAAATCAAATCACCTCTTAGCCTCATATTCTGAGGCTGATTGGAACCTTACACCGTTGCTGGGATGATTCAGAGAAAGTTAATGTAATTTGCTGTGTATCACCCCAAGAAACTGTATTTGTCAGCTTCCTATAGCAGTGTGAAATGTTCAAGGAAAATGCTTTCCTTAATATTGCTGCCAGGAATTAGGAGTGAGGAGTATAAAGTCATTATGTTGTGGGATCTGCTGATTTTCTGGGGATTTTCCACTAATGGATTTTCCCAGAAGTTCTGTAATTGTACAAAGAATCAAGGCAACAAAAATTAATATTTATTTTGTGTGTAATAATAATGGAAGAAGTTGATGTTTATCCATTTGCCAGTTATATGAAAGAAGGCATAGCATTGCCTAGAAGTATTTTTTCATCCTGTGTATCATAGTGATTCCAGAGACACATGAAGATGCTTCCTAAAATAGGTGATTTTGTAAGACTTTTTTTTTTCTGGTTCTTTCCCTGAAATTGCTGTGGTATTAGCTTTCTTGGCTTTGCAAAATGTTGTAATGCCAAATAGTCAGCAGCCCACGATCTTCAGCATACTGTTTCTGTGTTGTGCATTACATAAGTTATTTCTTCCATTTGATCTTGAAGCTCTATAAATTCCATTTCTGTCAATTTGATTATTGTGAATCAAAAGTGTACGAGTCCTTTTTATTAATCATCAGAAATATTTTGGGGTTGAGTCTTTTGTTATCCGTTGGAAAAAATGTATCAATTGGGTGTGTCACCTAGGAAGAATATGGGTTCTTGCCAGCGTTGCATTTGTTGCCAACTGTGTTCTGTCACTTCTATTTTATGCTTCAAGAGCAAGACCTAAATAATCACTCTTTTTTGTGTTAGAAAAGGAATTAACTTCCAATTAATTCCCTCCTTCCTCTGGGATCTACCTGTATATCCCAAAATGGGGAACAATAACAGTTACCTCATATGTCATTTTGAGTGCCACATATATACCGCCTGCTCACCTCAGCCCATTCAGAGACCAGTTCTTGTATGTATTAATCATATTTTCTTCTGGCTTATTACACAACAGAAAAATATTCAGTTCCAAATGTTAAAATGGGACACATTTTATTAACATTGAAAGCAGTAAATTATCTCTGCTTATGAAATGAGACTGAGCAATTTCTGCTGAACTCTTCCTGACTTGCCCCTTCACTAGGATACTGTGTTTTCTAATTTCTCAGAGGGCCCTGGTTCCATTAAGGGCGAGAACTGTTTTAAAGCTGTAATGAAAGCCATACGTAGCTGAAATTCAAGGAGGGGAAATGCCCTAAATTCTATTTCAGTAGCTCGTCTAGAGCTATTTTCAGTTTTATGTTTATAAGAATGTCAATTAACCTAGAGACTAGGACACACATGGAAGAATAATGATGAAGTGGATATCATTTTAACACACTGAAGCTAGCTAGTTGGACCTAATCCTTCTTTATAGAAGCTTGATTTACATAAAAAGCTGGCCTATGTTGCCTAATTTAGTTCTCAAACAGCTTGGTAATTTAAATGCTCTTTCCTTTCAATGTCATGAGACAGCACTGGTCAAAGTTGCAGAAATATTAACACTAAAAAAATAAAAGGAAGAAAGAAATATGCTGGAAGCACACTACCATCAGCTTGATTTCTCTGACACCTTTCAGATGATCACTTCAGCACTTTCAGGTGATCACTTTGGCATGTATTTGGTGATAACAATAATAATATTAATAATAACAATACCCTTAATCAAAGTGTAACTCTGCAATTTGGTATCAGTTGTGTCACTTCTTTACCTAGCTTATGCTGAAGTTGGAGATCCAGGCAAGCCAGATATTCAGCATGTTGTTTTCTGTTATGAAAAGAACTCAATATCAGACCTGCAAAGCTACTTTTGCACAGACGGGAAGTGCCCCTCTCAAGGTTAAAAAAAGTAATGCATGCTACAGGTCTTTCTAATTTAAATGCAGAGCAGTGTTCTTATCTGGAGAAAAAACAAGGAAAAAAATCCATCTATGTGAAATCTGCCTCCATTGGACAAAAGGTCACACCTCACCAACTTCTTTTATGAGATCTTTTATAGTAAATATGAGATGCGAAGTCCTCACCTAATAATGGTTGAGACTTTTTTGTTGGTTTAATATTATATGTATCTGCACATATTTTTTCCCCCCACTTACAATGTCATCACTTCTAGTAATTTTTTTCTCCTTTCCCTCATTTATTGCATTAGTGCTACGGGATGACTTCCGCCAAAACCCTACTGATGTTGTGGTGGCAGCTGGAGAGCTGATGAGATGCGAAGTCCTCACCTAATAATGGTTGAGACTTTTTTGTTGGTTTAATATTATATGTATCTGCACATATTTTTTCCCCCCACTTACAATGTCATCACTTCTAGTAATTTTTTTCTCCTTTCCCTCATTTATTGCATTAGTGCTACGGGATGACTTCCGCCAAAACACTCAGGTGGTTGTCTATAGACACAGGGCCTGCATTGAAGCTCCGCAGCTGAGTGCAGCAGAACTTTACAGCTTTATACCCTTTCCTGTAGAGACTTGTTATTACTCTTGGCAGCTTGCCTCTCTGAGCTTTCCCAAATGAGGGGGGAAGGTTGTTTATTCCTTCTGGTTTGGGTCTCCAACTTGAACTTCTTGAGGCTTGATTTGTATAACCAGGGTAACGGAGGTCCATTAGAGCTGTAGATTTGGTCATGTAAGGTGCTCTGTTGGATGGGAGCCTCAGTGGATATCTTTGACTGATTTGGCCTTACCTTTTCTAGACCTCAGCTCACTGAAATGAGATCTCAGTTCAGTGAAATGAGAATCATTTCACTCAGAAGATCCATTCATATCAGAGAGGTGTTTTGGATCTCCATTCATATCAGAGAGGTGTTTTGAAGATAAAATTAGTCATATCTATGAGGTACACAAATACTCTGCGGGAAAAAACCAACAGTTTAGGATGATATTGGTAATGTTGTATTTAGTGGAGTAGTTGGGATGTGTATTCTAAATGAAGGCTGAAGTTATACTCTAAAGAATGATTGTTCCTGAATAGGAATATCTATTGAGTAAATGAGTAACACTGGTTGAATTCTGTGATAGTTCATTCCATGTACTGAATGAAGAAGGATCCAGCAGAAATACCTAACTTATCAAGCGATTAGAAATTATATCATGGTATGTGCAAGCAAATGGGGTAAATTAAGGGTGTGGGGACATATTTCATTCCTAATATTTAAATGCTTAGCTTTTCACTATTAATATTCCTTCAATAAAGTTTTACATCGTATGTAGTGATATGTAACTCATTCAGTGCTGACCTTATTCAATATGGAAGTACTATCAGGAAGCTTGTTTGTTCCTTTGGATGCCTAAGGAAGTATTTCAAGCTAAACAATCTAAGTAGTTGCTATTTGCGGGCCAGGCTGTCTCTGCTAGGGTCTACTCAAGAGTAGAGGAAGGAAGAGTGGCAGGGAATTGGTTATCCTTCCCTGACTCTCAAGTTTCTTTGGCTATATTCATAGCTTATTCTGAAGCACCCCATTGTCTAACTTTTGACATTGTATATGACTTCACAAGCTGCAAATTTGTTACTTTATTTCTTTCAACTAGCCTGCTCTTTCACTCTATAAGCACCCTTTGTAGCCAGGAAAAAGTTAAGTCTTACGGGAGTCGGGTTAATTCTCAGTTTGGGCTAGGTTCAGTCTGTTTACATCAAGGAAAAGAGAAAATCTGTCTTAATCAGTGAACAGGGAAACTGTTCAGACATCAGTAAAATAAAATGAACTAAATAAAAATAAGTAAAATTGCCTTTTTCTTGCGAGAGATGTCAAGAGTGCTTTACATGTCATCATGCAAGAAATATAAGCACTCTGCATTGCCAAAGAGGCAGCAAGAAATGTAATCTTTGAAATGTAAAGCATCTAATGAAAACCAAAGAAAAAAATGAAATGTAGTTAAAATCAGTCAGTAGGATAAAATGTGTTCTAGAACAGCTTAAAGATATTTAAATATATAGGATTATAATTTTAAAGCTGTAAATATATTTACAAACAAAACTTTTAAATGCCTTAGTTGTGGAACTTGCTACCTGAAAAGGTAGCTTTTTTCTTATATCTTTTGTTTATCTGAAATTAAAAATATATTCCTTGTTTTGAAACAGATACGTGGTGGGAAGCTGATGATCTCCAATACAAGAAAAAGTGATGCCGGGATGTACACTTGTGTTGGAACCAACATGGTGGGGGAGCGAGACAGTGATCCGGCAGAGCTGACTGTCTTCGGTAAAGTGACTCAAGCTTTTGTTTCCTTTTCACTACAAATGCCATAGACTGAATTAACCTGGGTGACTCATCAAAATATGAGATGAAACAAGGTTAACAAAACACAATAGTACTGCTTAAGCTGCATTTCACAGTTTCTGAAGAAGACCAGGTTTCAAAGGCTGCAGTTTATAATTATGAAGCTGTGATGGCTCAACATTTTCCTTCTAAGCGCATAGTTTCAATCTAATTGGAGGTCCTTAGTGATACGCATACACTCAGAGACGGTAACGCAGGGCATAATGCTCTCCCTCACAAAACTGCCAAATGTAATTAAGGTACTTCTAATACAGTTGACAATGCCTGCTTAACAGAGATTTGGACCAGCATTGCCTATTTAAATAATTCCTTATTTCTGTGGGGCTGTGAAATCAAACCTTTGTAGGAGAGCACAAAAGAGCTCAATTGATCAGTAAAAAGTCGTTGGGTAAAATCCCGAGATCAACTTTTTGAATACATAGAGATACTTTTGCCATTTGTTTTTTAAAGGGCATAAAACAGCTTTTCATCCTGTGAGCCAGGGCATCATCTAGGTTTTTGGTGTTGCTGAATGAATCAAAAATGAATAGGTTTCCTGTGTGAAAGAGCTTCCAGACCTGATGGTCAAGGCAAGAAGTTGTTAAGAACATTTGCCCTTTGGTTAGGGTCTAGAGCAAGAATAGAGTAATACTGAACCTAGAGCTGGATCCATACTGCTAACAATTGGATAAGAAGCAAAGCAGCAAAATCCTGCTGTGGTACGTCCTGCAGTCATGACATTTCTATTTACCATTAGATGTGGTTTTGTAGGAATTAGTCAAGAGGTCTAGAGCAAGCAAAAGAAAATCAATAAGGAAAAAACCCGTCACTGCTAAAGAAAACACATACATGCATACAAAAGAGAAAGAGAAATAATGTTAATGTTCCCTCCTGCTACACCTCTTTGATATCCTTGATACAATACCAAAATTCCAAACAAGACTGCTTGTAATTCCAGTAAGACTTTTCATAGAAATCCTGAGGTCCTTTCCGAAGCAGGTGCTCCTAATTTTTTCACCTTCTGTCTAATATGGTGCACTGGAAAACCCAGTCACACATATTGCCATCTGTGTTTGCGTGTATGTGCAATTCAACATTTGGTTGTCCACTTCAAAAAAAAACATATTATGGGATTCACAAAGGCATAAAAAAGTTTATGCTAGACAAGATCTGTGAGTGACTGAGGATTTGCTGCTTTCCAGCATTACAAGGCTGTAAAGGCTTCCACTCTGCTTAGTTTGTTGTGGATTCATGGAAGCACATGACTTTTAAAGATAGAACTAGTATACCTTGCAAAAAAACACAGGAAGGATCTCTATCAAATTATTATGTCCTTTGCAGCCAATCTGTTGAAGTTGTGCCTTTATACAGATGTGAAAGAGGCATGACATATCTTCTTCATCAGTTTAAGTACTGATAATCTCTGGTAATACTCCCTGTGGATAGCAAGCAGATTGCAGTCCTAAACTACAAAGCCTTAAGAAATCCATAAGAAAATAATTGGTTAAAAAGCATTGAACTGTAGGAACAAAAACTGAAATATGCATGTAATTTCATATCCTGCAGAGTTACGAAAAGTATTAGGTTTGTCTTGATATGTAAAATATTATATAGCCAATTACAATATTCTGAATTTTTTTACAGGATTTAATCGTAGCAATCAACTCGTAAAACACAATTTAAGCCTATTTTGTGAATACTGAACAAAATCAGCAATAAATGAAATTAGATATTTTAATTCTTCATAACTGTGTTAGACGACCAAAAGAAAATTGTATTTAAAATTCCTTTCCCCTCTGGGTATCTTCCTACCTAAAATTCCCCTTCTATCTAGGTATTCCCTTCCTATCTTCCTTTTGGCTGTACAAGAATAGCATGCAGGAAGCAGGCGCTCAGGTCATGATCTGCTGTTTGACAAGATGATTCGACTATCCTGTGCCCATTTCCTGGCTGCCACCTGGCCCTGAAGCTCTGTGTTGGTGTATTGGGCTCACTGTATAGACGTGTCCAGGTTTGTCCTGGTCTGCTCCGTACAAAAGAAGGTGGCTTGGCTCTGCCTTCTACTGGCAGAGCAGTTGTATTCCGTTCTTTGACTCCAGGCAGCAGCTCGTGTGTGGGTGGGTGCGTGCACAGTGCACTGGAGAGCATTATCCACGATGTTTCCAGGAAGCAATGTATCTACTGGACAGTCCAATCAGTCTAAGCACACACAATAAATCCAATAAATCCAGCAACTCTGGGAAACGTCAGATTGGCTGTGCATGTTCAGAATGACTTTACTGAACACAGGCAAAACCATGGGTCATCTGTTAAGTCCACAGCCTTCCTCTAATACGACTCACAGGTTTGAAGAACATGGGAATAGTGCAAATGTTGCGAAAAATGTGCTAAAAATACCATAATACTTATATATTATTTATGTGCCCAACTTTAACTGTTTTGAACATATTTGAAAATGGGCTTTATAATTAAAAAGAAGATATCTTAGCTAAGAGACTTAGAGAATTTAATAAAGTGGCTGGCAAGCTGACAGCTGGTGCTGATTCTGGAGAGGAATGTGTATTAATTAGCTGATTATTAATGTCTCTATTCCTTTTCCAAATAACAAACCCTTTCCATAGTGTGAAGGGAGCCTCACAGTAAACACACTACTCTGTAGGAAAAGGAACTGTTTCATACTAGTTCTCAAACCTTTCCAGGAATCAGCCACTTGTTACTTTTGGCTTTGCAAGTTTTTCTGTAATACCTGAAGTTAATTTCTGCATGTGACTCGTGACAGATCTCTGGCTCCCTGTACAGTAAATTTAGCTTGAGGCATTGCCTCTGGAAAAACTGAGTCAGTGTGGTGGTAACTGGTGGCCCGAGGGGAACAGCATGGAAGCCTAGCTGAAAAGATTACACTTTTCCCGAGTTTAAAAAAAATTTTAAAAAATGGGCAATGAGAACCTTGGAAAGAAGTAGGAGGAGAAAATGAAAGTTTCCCATATGCAGAATGTATGCACTTGGCTGGTTACCCATTCAGTAACCTTTGCTGAGAGAGAGTTGTGGATAATACATGTAGAACTTTCACAAAACAAGTAATTTTTCTTTTTTTCAACCCTGCCTGCATAGGAAACCTAGTTTTCAACATTTAGGCACTGCTAACAGCATACTGTTAGTGTCGGTGCAGATTGCATTTCTTTTGTTCCCAAGTCATGATTCTTCTACTAGCAGAAAATTGCCAAACTTTCACAGTAAAATATCATAAAGCAAACTGATTGTATAAGCAGTGCTTCCCAAAATTGTTCCTGTGTTTTGAATAGTGACAATGATGCATTACATTTTGTTAGTCTTCTCTTTCAAGCACTACTGCTAGTTTTTGCCTTTATGAGCCTCCAAGGTGTAATCTTGGAGTAAAGCAAGAAGGCAGGGTCTGTCACAGAGTCTAAGTTGGCCTTTAAAGAAAGTTAATAACTAATCCATCAGTCCTAACGTTCACAAAAAGAGGCAGCATGTTACTTTATTATTACGGACGCACTATTCTAAAGGCCAAATTCAGAAGTGTAAGTGATACAAATTAGGCTGCTTTGCTTGCGTTTGGGCTCATAGCCTTTGGCTGAACAGACTTAAAGCAAGATGCAAAACAGAAACAGTTTCATTCCAATTTGTAAGAAAGCTTGGTTTGTAAATACATAATATGGAGCCAGAAATTAAATAAAGTAAGAATTACTGTTTAAGTTAACCTTTTATCATTTTGTCATACTACTACACTGTTCTCAGATAAGTTTTCAATTGGTTTAACTATTTCAGACTCCTTTTTGTTCCTTTGGACTTAAAATGGTATGTTTGAAGAGAATGTACAAAGGTATATCTTGTATATTGATTCTGAAGCTCACTGAAATCAATGAAAGCCTTAATATATCAACTTCAAGAGGCTGGCATCAAGCAGTGGAAAAAGATATATTTAGAAGAGCCTCAGAAGAATATAAAGCATAACTAAGAAGAGTACAAAAATGTCTTAAAAGATATGTCAGTTCAGACATATTAAAGATTGTTTTGGGTTAATCTTTGATTTTAGCTTTGGTACCTGAACCTTTTTTCAGCTAATAAGGTCCAGTGGGATGAAGAGGTATTTTTGTCTGATGCTTGAAGAAGTATTTGCGTTTGATGTTCTCTAGACATTGTCAGGCTGAAAGAGATACTACAGTTCCAGAAAGAGTATACTATGATGACATGATGTTAGAGGAAAAAAGTCCCAAACCCCCTTAATGAAGACATTGTGCCCCATTTTACTTTCCTGAGCTCTGACTATCTGGAAGGCCTTAGCAGAGTATTGTCCCATCATATCCTGGAAATTAGTCCCAGAAGCTTTCCCAGCCACATGGAAAACCTGCCAAAATCGGGTATACATTCACAGTTCAAGACAGAGAAATTGGCAGCGTGTATTTTGTCCTTCAGAGCAAAGCTCCTCCTGTTTTTCTTCAAATCCTTGTATTTCGCACTTGCAGCGTACTTGTGGCAGTTTGCAAAGAGCCAGTTTGGCTTTGCAATATTTGTTATCCACAGATACTGACAAGTTGTAATAGGATAATGACACTGCTGTGAAAAAGGATCTGATTTGGTCTCCAAAGTCCGTACGTAATGCTCAGTAAAAACTGAAATTAATACGGTTGTAGATGTATATAAAAGGAGAAAAACACTAACGATTGAAAAAAATAATTCTACTTTATTTGCATGTGTCCCTTAACAGTGCTCCATGCCTTTACTGTGCAAGCTTGTTGCATCTTGGGTACTGCTTAGAATGTAGAAGTTTGCAATGTCTACGCAAGTGCTTATTTCTCAAATGAAAAATGGAAACGTGCCTAAAAAGAGGCAGTAGAAGAATGTCTTTAAATATAAAGCCATCTGCTTTTGCAATTGTATTTTCATTTATTTGGCCAACATAGGTAAATTTAGTGTGATCCTAATATCCTGTCTTCTTCCACATCTTCATTTTTGGCAGAGAGCTTTACTTTATCCAGATCATGCTGCAGTTAATGAAATATCTACACTATTGACAGCATTCTGAAGTGAAACTTACTTCCAACCATCTCATGTTTCTTTTTTTTCCTTTATATCAGAACGCTAAAGTGAAAAAAGCTTTATTTTTAAACTATTTGCTATTAAATCCCTCCCCAAAGCCTTTTAATTTGTGTTTTAATACTTCTTTCTAGAACACGAAAACATTTTTTAAAAATGATGCCTTCTCTCCAGCAAAGACCGAGAAAACAGTTCTAAATCAGATTGAGCCTCTACATTATGGGGACCATCAAATCCTTCACTCTAGCAGTTGCCTCAGCAGAGAAAATATATTAAGGTTGTTAGGATCATTTTAATTCGATTGAGGTTCTACATATGGCTGTCTAACTTTTTGAGGAACAGAGAAAGGGCAATAATACATCTGAAGGTCATTGGAGTCTCTCTAATAGACTGTGATACTCAGACCAGTTGTTAAATAGAGGAAAAATTGAGTTCTGGGGTTGACTTGCGTCAGCACCCAAAGCAAGGAAAGGATTTTCCTATGTTTCTGGTTAGGATTCTGTAGGTTTTCTTGCAGTGCATATCTCAAGCGCTGCAACAGATTGTAGGTGTGTGTCCAGATTGCATTAACAATCCCCTTCTATAACTGCAAGCAAAGTTTCTTCTGAAGTTGTAAAGGTCACCCTAGTAATAACACAACTGGTTGACATGACATATAACCGTGACCTATTTTATAGTTCTCGTCAAAGATTTTTAATATTCATCAGAGAAAGTATGGGAAGTGGGTACTTTATTTACTCAGTGAAGCTTATAAAATAGCTATATTAAAATTTTTATATATGTCTATGATTTTAATTTATTGCCCTTTCTTGTTGTTTCTCAAATATATTGTGTTCTGAATGCTGTTGACAGAGTAACAATGTTTAATTATACCACAAAGCTTTGCTTATGGGCAAACCATTAAAAAAAAAAAAAAAGATTTTTTTCTCAAGTTTAGCTCTGAAACTAAATTTGACCTGCCTGCGTGAAGAAACCTTCTTTATTTAGCATGCTCAGGCAAGCAGCTCTCTGTCTCCTGAGAGATTAACATTGTAAGCAAGTTATGCAGGTGACTCGAATCCAGTTAATCTCACATAAAGAATGTTAATTGCATTGGCAATGGCGTTCACTCTGATCACTTTATAGCTGTATAATTAGCTATTGGACATATTCAAGGGGTTGTCTGAGTGATACAAATACAGGAAACAACATGAGCAACGACTTATTCTTTCCTGATTCACACTGTGCAAAATGCAGAGATGATGGAAAAATGGAAATAGCGGTTATTGGTATTTGCATGTCCTTGCTAACTGGGATCTGTACTTACATAGATATTTATTTTCTAGCAAGTTCTAAACTGTTTTGGAAAATGCACAGTTCTGAGAAGCTGATCTGAAACAAACATGTATGTATATACTCCTAAATTGCCTTGATGTGGAATCAAGTGATATACCTAATGACCTTTTGGCCATTTACTGTCTTGTCAGCTGGGTTCTTCTCAAAATGTGATAGGAATTTATTTTTTCATCTCCTGTATAAGAAGCATTTACAGTCACAGGTAGCAATTTTATAAATATGCATACGTTAGTTTCTTAGCTGTTTACAGGCAGCTTTTATAAACATGGTCTAAAATAATTTTTGTATGCAGACCAAGCTAGCATATAGGCACATGCAGGAATTATTTAAATTCAAGGGTCTCTAAATCACATATGAGGATGCTGATCTGGATCTAAATTTCTTGGTTTAGGATCATCTTTTGAAAAACAAATAACAAAATATAGACGGTATTGTGTATGAGCTCAGAGTAGGGGCTGGACTGAGCTCTTCTTAGGAGAGAAGTTGTGAATAAGACACTGTTGCAACTTACAGAAGGTTTCATTAAGATAGTCCCTTCTAGACCCACAGAATTGTAGACGGACCAAGTGCATTGCTTAGCACTGAGGTTAACAACTAATGCTTTTGTTACTTTGTCCAGTTTTAATAAGTTCGCCGAACCAAAAGGCTTTATCCAAAATTTTCCACGCCTGATGTCTGCTTCAACTGATTTTTTTTTTTTTTTTTAAATTGCCAAAATAATTCGTTCTTCTCTAGGAATGTTGAAGTTCCTGCAGTTTGGAGGTGAAAGGGGTAATGGGAGGGAAATGGGGAAGAGTGTGAAGGAGAGGAACGGAGGAAGCTTTTGTCCTGAGAAATGCAAGTCCCTCATATTGGATAACAGGGACATAAAATTTGATGGGAAATAACTACGCTATGCCAGAGATGTAATTTTTTGCTTGTCCAAATAACTTTTACCAAATTTAGCCAATTATGCACCTCTCTAAAAAGAAGTAAATCATCAATTCATACACCAGAGACACGAGGTAGAATGCAGGTCTGAACAGCATTTTCCTGCAACTGCAGTTTAGTGCTGCTGTCACTCTCCTGGGATGATACTTGGTTACTTTAATCCATTTTTCTTGTGCTAATATTGTGGATGGGCTGTATCTGGGTGGCACAGAGAAAAGAAGCTCCAGTTCAAGCGTAGTTCAAACACATAGTGGAGAAGAGTCAGTTTGCAGTGAGGTACGAAGAAGTGAGAGGCATGGGTAGTTGGAAGGGAGACTGGACTTGGACACTTGCTGGGTTCCAGCTGTGAACAGCAATATTCTGGGCTAGGAGGAGACAAATCGGCTAAGGAAGCAGTCTGCAGCTGGAAAGAGCTGGCACAGCCAATGACTGGAATGGAGAGGGACTTGAGGCACTGTCACAGGCTGGCCAGGACACCTGGACAGGTGAGGGTGCAAACCTAGCTGGAGGTGGGGAAGGGTCAGGAGACTACATGCACAGGGAAGGAAAAACCTGATGAAGCACACTCAGGACAAGGAGCTGTAGGGCAAGTTATATATGGCTTTTTTTTAGGCTTGAGACAGGTAATAAAGACACAGACTTCAATGTGTCTAGAGACTAGAACTGAATTTACTTGCCCAAACGCTGCTGGAACCTGCAGGTCCTGGTCAGGACTGGGAATGGGACAGAAGCAATGGCTTGGGAGAAATGGGGCGAAGAACATCTCCCCGTTAGACATGTTTGTATCTGTAGCATCTGGAAAAGTGCTATAGTTTCTTGAGCGTGTCTATTCTTCTACTGACAAAATATGTTTTTCCCTGCCAGTGGGTCCCCTTGCTAGTATCACGGAATTCCTATGTGATGCTGTCACTCATTTACATAATTATTAACAGGTGGTTTTGTGTTCCTTGTTTTCTGACTTAATATTCTGATTTGCAAAAGTGGTGAACATTTTGTCGGCTGCAACTGAATTCAATGGAAGCTGAGCTTTGAACACAGAAAATAAATGCTAAATTAAAAAAAAAACCTTGGCAGTTTTTTGTCTCAGGTTAAGCATTGAAATTTAGCAGATATTTTTTACCTTGCTTTCTTAGATCCCCATCGCATTTCACAGAGGAGCTATGAAAATAAGTGAATTGTTTATGAAGCATTAAGATAGGTATAATGGAGGTCATGAGGAAATTAATAATTCCATCTTTGAAGTGAAGTTTGAGTAGTATGACAGGAGGCCACCCACTAAATTGTACAACTAAAGCAAAATATTAAACACCTGCTCATTAAATGAATACCAACAATCTGGAGATGTTTGGGGAAAAAATAGTATGTGATCATATAATTGCAACCGGTCCCATAAGGCATAAACAGAAAGGGAGTGATTAAAGGGCATGCAGACAGCCTTAGTTCTGGCACTTCTGGCACTGAGGTGCTGCGTGCCTGATTTTGCAACCTTATTAATGTTCTTTTAATGTTGTTTTTTTTTTTAATTTGGATATAGAAACATGGATAGCCAACCCATAAACTCAGCTCTGTAGTTATCAAGACAAACTGCCTGAGTCAGAATCTGGTATTGCTTACATCTGTGTGAATTTTGAATAATTTTTTAAGTGACATCATACCCTTCAACGTGCTGAGAATGAAATGCGAAACGTAGTGTGTAACCAGTTTTAAATGTCTTTATAATAAATCCCTGTCTTGAGTGGAAATACTGCTTTGTATAAAGCCAGTCTTATAATGGTTTGACTCTAGCATAAATAACTTATGACAATAAAAGTGTGATACGGCTAGGAGAGGACAGACCAAAATTTATGCAGTCCAAAGGCAACTTGGAAACTAACCCCAGCGACATCCTTTCAAATGAAATTACCGGTACTTTGAGTTTGTACCAGTATAACTGAGATCAGATTGTGGCTCTGCATCTGGATTTTAAGCAGGCCTGTACAACATTATGATGATTAATAATATTTGTAGCCGTGCAGGCTAACATAACAAGGGTAAACAGAACTTATTATTCAGACCTTAATTTAGTTTTCCATGGTGAAGTTAGTGATGGGGATCAGGGAAGCTCTGACCTCTGTACAATAGTACACAATTGCCTGAGATGCATAACGCGGAGTTTACATTTTCCTCCGAAGCATCAAGATATTGATTATTGCCAAAGGCAGGCTATCTCCAGTGGCAGCTCCTATATCACTGGAGCGGGCAGGAGCTTTTAGATCACGCTCTGTGTATGCAGCCGTGCAGAGCCAAAATGTTCACACGGAAGGGCACGGTCTTGGAGCCTTCTCCGCTGGCGTGGCAGGTGGGCAGTCAGTGCTAGCACAGGCGTCCTTCTGGTGGCACTCGGCTCTCGCGTGAGGGCCGGATGCGACAGCCACCGCCACTCCAGCCTGGCAGTCGTCTTCCGGGCTCTTTATGCACATCATCAGTTCCACTTGTCTGAATTTGTGGAGCTCAGCCTCCTTTCTTTGTTCTGTGAATCGGTAAACAAAACGATGCTGAAAAGTCAAAAGTGTTCATTTCAACCCTCTGACTCACTAAGGAATTTTAATGTCTCTTTCAAGAACGGCCCACGTTTCTCAGGCGACCGATTAACCAAGTGGTGCTGGAGGAGGAGGCCGTGGATTTCCGGTGCCAGGTGCAGGGGGATCCCACACCCACAGTCCGGTGGAAGAAAGATGATGCAGACTTACCGAGAGGAAGGTGAGAGCAACATTCATGTTCCCCACACCTTCAGATTTCAGTTGTTGACTAATGCTGGAATCACTCCCTACTACTTATTGTTTGTTATTTGACATTATGGGCAAGATTTATTTCCCGAATTGCTGGTCTTTGGCACTACAAAACCTGTTCCAGAGCCAGTTGAGCAGGGAAGCCCGTTCTGGGTTGAATTGTCCAAGGTAATGGATTCCTGCGGAAGGAAGAAGAGTGATGTGTAGGTATTGGTGAGCACACGGGTATTCACTGCATTTGCTGGAGAAAAGTAAAGATATTTTAGGAATGTGCTAGTGATAGTAGCCTTCATAATAGTGTCCTGATACCAAAAGGGAGAAAACCTGGCTGGAGAGTCGCAGAGCCGCTCTGTTGCACTAGCAGCATGAATTAGAAGCAGAGCGCTGTGGTGGGCTTTGCTGGCTCCTTGGCTAATGTCTGTTAAGTCTTGGAGAGAAACCTTCCTCTTGAGGAAACAAAAGAACAAACTAGCAGAAGTGGAAAACAAAGTTGGAATTTGGAACAGGCCGCTTGTGTTCAAGAAGGATTCATTGACTCTGGAACAAACGCGGAGAAAATTCCAGAACGATCAGGGGATGAGAATCTGTCTTATGAAAGGACATTAAATTAGCTCGGCTCCTTTCAGCTAACAGAACAGAGTTTGGTCCTCACTTTCTGGAACTCTTTCTAGTTTCGATGCTGAATCATTATTAGGTTAAAAAATCTTAACACAGAAATAGGTCTGGGAACAGGAATGAGAACCCAGGTCTCCATAACCCAGCCAATCCTTCTGGCCTGTGAATCCTGATTAATTTTTGCACAGTGCTTTTAAATTCAACATGAGACATGAATAGTGCCTCTTTTGTCCGCACCACAGCTGATTGTTCTTTTCCATCAGTGTTGGTTTTTCCTGGGATGTTGCTGATGGAATTTGAAGAAAGGAAAAAAAATCTAGATCTTCTGTTCTTCAAACAAGTGCTTTAAACACTGGAATTATGTAGGCTGGCTGCCAGTGTTATTTCTGTTCCTCCAATCATGATCTTAAAAAAAGAACAGCTGCAATGGTGTTTGTGGCTAGTTTGTGTCAGCATATACTAAGTGCACTGTGAGCAGACTACTAGACTGGGCCTAACTAAAACATAACTTAGACATTGCTGTCTGCTTTCTTTATCACAGCATGTCTTACGTCTTCACCCCAACAAGGTGAAATATGTTGTAAGACTGTTATCTGGCAGTCTTCAACCACTTGCTAAATATGGCGCTTGCTGTCACATACACTTTCACGAAAAACGATGGCAAAATTCCTCAGAGTCACACAGCACTTAGTCATGTTTGCGCCTTGGGTTAATATCTTTTGTTTCTCAATTTTTAAATCTTTAACAAAATCCCAAAACTTAAATTGGAGAATACCTGTTTTAGTTTCTACATCCTCAACTCTGTAAGATGTCTTATGTGAGCATGCAATTCTTCAGTTAAATATATTAATGTAATGATACATAATCTAGAAAAAACATTTCTGTATGTAGAGATACCTATGTATATGTATAGAAATACTTACAATTTAAAATTAATTTCCTTGCAATTTAAAACAGATTAAAAAATGACTTTTTTTTTGCTAATTATATTGATAGATGTATATGCACGTAATACATAAGATATTATTTTGAAGAGCAGACTTTTGGATTGCAGGATGAGTTTTTCTCTTTGCTTGCTATTTAACTATGCATTGTAAAGTAGTCCATACTAAATACATTGTGCTTCTGTGATTTATTCTTACTATTGTGCTGCTTCTGTTGTTTTAAAACATGTCTACTTCTAGGTCTCATAAGCAGAAGTAATAGATGATGAACCAACACTGCCTTTCATTAGGTTGAACTTTTATTAGGGTTTTTTAAGTGACTATGTTCCTTCTTTTTCTTTTATATGTCACTGGGAAAAACATAGTAATATGTGCCCTGAGGTCATTTTTTCTGTTCATTTATAATGTATTTCTAAGGAAGAAGAAATGAAACAGGAAGCATAGGGAGAGTTTTCACTGGGCTTTTAACTAAATAAGAGAAGGTTCGTCAGGTACATTCTGATCATAATCAACTTCAGGCTCAGAAACTACTCACAGTGTTTCACAGTGTTTTTACACTGCTGTTTAACATTTCATTAACTGTGTTTTGGCATCTTAAAATAGAAAGTGGGGGTATGTCTTCATTTATGTCTGCATCCCAGAACATCACAGGGGTGGGTGAGGAAGGGGCAAGGTTGCATAATCCCACGCTGGAGACCACCTTGGGTGATACAGGACTACCACTACCGCTGCCTATGTAGTGGGTTACCACCGCCTGAGCCACGTGGATTGTGGTCATCTAGTAGAGTCCAACATCTACGCTTCAAAAGCAAATACCTCTGATGATCAGGACTGTATGTTTTCTTTTCTAAAATGTATCATTTGTATAGCAAGATACGTAAGCAGAGTCTTCACTGTCCAAAAAGTGAAAATTTCCAAACCATGCTGCATGATGCTTAATCAAGGAGGATAAACTTAGAACATCTAAAAGAAAAGCTATTGTTTTTCCTGGATTTTTTAATCCAAGCAAAGAAATTTGCCCATGGTCTGAATTTGCTATAGTCTGAATGAATGGATGGATAGATGAGAAACTGGTAATAGCAATTTTATAAATTAAGAAGATAATTTCTAAGTTTTTCCTCCTTGATGAAATGGGAGATTTTTTTTTTCTTTTTTGAGGTAAAACCAAAATTAGCTTTGACCTTCTGAGCTCCTGTATTTTAAGCACTTTAACATCTACAGTGAAATATGAAACGCTCAAGGAATTCCCTTTGCTATTCTTCCTACATACATAAATCCTTCTTCTGAGCAGACCTGTGCAGCTATTTGTCTTATAGCTTTCAATATGAATTTCCTGTTTTTACAGCTAATGACCTTCTTTGCACATCTGTCTGGTTTTGTTTTTTTAGTAATTTCCTTTTGGCTTCATCCCTAGATTATAAAACAATTATAGTAGGTGCCTGTTTAAACAATTATTGCAAATTTTTAAATTTGTCTATTGTTCAGCTTTCAAAAGTGTCTAGTTCAGTGATAGCAAAATGGGATAAACTGAATTTTTGTATGCATTTTGTTTCTGTA